GTCACTGCAGAGTCGGTAACGACTGAGCGCAGATTAAAAAAAAAAAAAAAAATCTTCAAGAAAATAGCAGTTAGTACAAAGGTACAAGCCTTGTTATTTTCCTATTTGATTAGCAGTTCAGACAGATTTCTTTAAAAAATATTCCAACTAGACATAATCCTCTGTGCTGTGCCTAGGACCATCTTGCAAATAATTCAGATCAAATGTCTTCTGCTCACCAGGATTTATATCTTAAAAATATATTCTTGCTTTGCCCAGAGACATGAGGGACAAATCAGGTTTGATTGCTTAGGCCATACCTTGTAGCTTTGGGGTCCCAAATGACAATGTCAGCATCAGAGCCCACAGCTATTCTTCCCTTCTTTGGGTATAGGTTAAAGATTTTAGCTGCGTTTGTGCTAGTAACAGCTACAAATCTGTTTTCATCCATTTTGCCCCTGTGCTGTAAAACAGTATAGGTGAATTTTTAATAAAAAACATTTGAAGAAGGAAAAAATATTCATAAATTTATTGCAAGGGAACCCCATTCCCAACTGGGGGGAAATAATGCCTATGTTAAAAAGGTACTGTACCAAGGCTTTCATAGTGAAGTGGGGGTATCAAAAAAGTCAAGATCGCAGCCATGACCATGCAATCAAGCCCCACTCATTTTTATGTGCATTAAAAAAAATATCAGAGTTTTAACTACATATCTGTGGCTGCCATTCTGACATTTTTGACACTTCCCCCTGAGCGGATGCTCCAGTCCTGGACAGAATGTTTCAACACTGAAAATTTCAAACATTTCCCAACAGCTAATCAAACAAAAACATAGCACCAAAGTAATAATTCCATAAGAGAAAGACATAGTTTGGAAACAGCTCCAAATTTATAACCTTGATAGATCAAAATAATGGCTTCAGGGATATCAAACAGGCTAATAAATGAAACTGGTGCACATTCTTAAAATTCATAAAGCGATAATTCTGAAGTGGGAGAACAAAAAATTAAAATCAAAAAAATCTTTTCAAAGGTGGCAATAAATCGGAGAGAATATAGAAAGAATGGCAGCAATCAGCAAAACTGAATACGTAGATATTTGATATAGATAAAATCCCTGCCTAAATAGAAAGCTTGCCTAAATGAATTGCTAAGGTTCAAAATTGGATGGATATTAATATAAATTGCTTCCATAATTTTGTGTGTATTGTCAAGAAAACTCTCAGTGGTCACCATTTGTTAAAAGATGGAACTTAGGGGCAAATCAAATGTTTGATTATTCACAAATCTAGCAATCTTATGCATATTTAAAGTAGACAACAGACATAGGAGCTCAACTCAGAGCTGGTAAAATTTTTACTCTTCCACTACAGGCCTGATTTGGTTTCTTATAACTATTAACTGTATTTGAAAAATAACTTTCAGCAGAACAAATGAGATATTCGCTTTTGGTGCAAAGAAAGATGAGATTCCTATTGATGATGGGGTCAGAGTCAAGACAAATAATTGAATCCTCTTTAACTCCCACAAAGGTCCCAATCCAGAATGAAATCCTATGCCTATTTTTAAAATCCTTTTCATGTCCTGGCTCAAATCCTATACTTTGAATTGCCCTAGTAGACACTCATCTATTTATTTAAAATATTTAATCCTTCTTGTCTTCTTAAAAGGCATTTAAAGTGGCTTAGCTTGACCTATGCTAGATGTTAAGGATTAAGAAAGGACATATGATGGAAATATACCCTCTCAAGTATCTAAGACAAAAACTTATATTAAGCCTCACTTCCTTGAATTTAGCCACAACTTACTTTTTTTTTTTCAACAATGGGGTTCATATAATGTTGGAGTTATAATTATCCTTCCAGGCAGCTAATGTTAGAAATTAACCTGTCATACTCTGGATCATTTGCAGCCTCCATACAGTATCAAGGGCAATCTAGAGCATTTTATGTAGTCAAATCTGTCAGGATTTTCTTTCTCATGCGAAAGGATTCATCCCGTTATCTTTACAACAATAACAAATAATATTTTGACTACAGAGATCATGCGAAAAACACCTGTTATTGTGTGTTGTGTATTGTGCTAGTTACTGCCACCTATTGGCGTGTGTATGCTAGTTACCCAGTGGGGGTGGCACAGAGCTATAATACAAGGAGAGGAAAATGTGCTGCCTCTGTGAGTAGTTGTTAGTTGTTTTAGTGTTAGCCTCTAGGTAGGTTTTATGGGCTACGTAGTTGTAACAAAGCACCAAGTATATTTAATCCTTCTTGTCTTCTTAAAAGGCATTTAAAGTTTTTCCTGGAGTTTTTGCTGCGCTCTGCACAAACAGGAGTGTTTGTGATTATCACTCTGCCCGACAAAATCAGAAATATTACCAAGATAAGTACAGTAACAAGACTTTTATCTTCCAGGCAAGAGAAATCATTGGTAATATATCCGTTCAAGCCATATATTTGAAAGGATTTAGTTCAGGTCAGTAAGCTAAGGAAAGGAATAACAACTTTTTGAGAGTGCATGTGCGTGCTTTAGATTTAAAGGGAAAATGTTTTGGCACACACAGAGGGTGCTCACGAAGCACCTTTCCACATCTCCTGAGATTAAACACGTCTTTTCCTGGGGCTTCATTGTAGCTGAGAGGGCAAGCATGCAATCCTAGGAAAAGATGCAGCTGCTTTAAGGAGTTGTGATCAGGTGTTACATGCCTTAAAGCACCTCTTTCCTTTTGAATTCAAAGCACTGTACAGTCATAGTGTATACCTCCTCCTATGCAAAAAATGAGGACTTTTTGTTATTGTTTTCACCATTGTGTTAGAGAATGAATTGAAACCCCACTTACCACTCCTTTTTCCCAGATCACTGACATCCTATCTTCCACTCCATTCACTCCATTTGGGATCTTTGTGAAGTTATTTTTTCCCAAAGCCTTCTGGCAGATGTCAAATGTGCAGTTATCTGTTCCAGTCAAAGTCAAGTCACCACTTAAAAAAAATAAGGTAAAAGAAATACTATTACTGAGGTGGCATAAAGGACTAGATTTTTTTATGTACCACATCCCACTTTTCATTTCAGAATTATACATCCTACTTGGTTCATTGTTTAAATCTTAAAACCATTAAAGAAAAAAATCTGCTGAAGAAAGGTAAGGAGATAAAGAATTAATGACCTATAGGAAAATAATATCACCTCTAGGTAAGACCAAAACCCTGGTGAATGCTGACATTTTGTGAAGATGTTGGCTTGGATTCAGCCATACCCTGAATTAGATGGAAAGGTGCCATAAGAGCAGTGAAAATAAAGTCCTGCTAGATCAAAGCAAATGTTCTATTCAACCACTCTGTGTTAGCCAAAAGTACTCAGGAAGTTCACAAAACCTTGATAGCCTTCATTGATTGCTTCCCAATGATGATATTGCTTCCTAGTGATGCTACAGTCATCATTCCATTGTAGATTCTGGAAGTACTATTTTGGAGGGTTGGGGTGGTGGGGCAGGCTTAGATTCCTTTAATTAACCAATGAAAGGAAGCTGGAATGCTGCAATACAAAGGGTATCAGTGCCTTGGACCCAGATAATCCTTTTAGGAAATAAAAATGGTGGGTGGCTGCAGTCCAATGCTTTCTTTGGAAGTGTTCCAAATATTTGGAAACTGACCAAGATAAGCTTGACAAGTCAAGAGGATGCTAAAGTTGGGCTAGGAGAGGCTAGAAGGGTGGAGAAAGCAACCTATTGAAATTGGCTTCTACTAAATAGGGGTTTGTAACAATATGACCACCAAGAGGGCAACACCTAGCCAGGGGGTTGATGTTGAAAAGCTAAGCAGAGTCAGACCTGGTTAATACTTGAATGGAAGACCACAAAGAAATACCTGAATTACAGGCTAGATGGGAAGTTGAAAAACATCTCAGAATGTAGCAGTGGCAAACCATCTCTGTAGTTTTGCCAGGTAAACAACATGGACATGTCTCTGAGGTCACCAGGAGTCGAGCCTGACTCACAGGACATCCTCCTTTTTATCTTTGTGATTGGTTATGTTTCCCTTCCAAAGTCAGCTATTTTCTGAGAAGGTCCATGATATTCTCTTAAAATTCCAAAATAAGCAGCATGACTTTTATTCAGTATTTAGCTATTTCCAAGCAAACAGGGAAAACCATACTGCATATGACAGATAATACATACATCAGAACCTTAATTATTTCCCCAAATACTGTATACTTTTCTTGACCAAACAACCAAAAAGGAACAGTAAAATTCCTCTCATTATTTTACATTTTTCCTTCAAAATCCATTGAAACACATTACTGTATTTTGCAGTTTTGTCTATGCTGGCTTTAATAGCCACTTAGGGTACATCTATTAAAGGGCCCTTGTGAATATGAACTTCCTTACTTTGCTAGAAGATTCATGAGGAAGTCTGGAGTGGAAGGATCAGGCCTTAGTGGAGGACCCATGACGTGAGCTGCTGCGTGAGGCCAGTCTTTTTGCCAATAGTGAGTGCCATCTGTACCAAGGCTTGCAGCTATAGGCTCACCATATACGACTTTGCCTGTGGAGGAGAGAATGAAGAAAATTAAAGGTAAGAGGAACTAAACCTAGTAATACTAGCTTGCAATTCCACATCAGTGGATTGGATCAGGTATGATATAGACAATGTATAGACCCTATGATCAACTCAATGACAGATGAACAGATCTTTGGGAAAAAACTAAGTTTTGGGGGTGGGCAGCTTATGGGACACGCCTTCTCCAGTGATGCTTTTCTGTGGTCACTGAAACTATTTGTTATTGTAAATCATCTCAATAAATTTAGGTGCAGACTGGTCTTCCAATTATGTCTATACATAAAATCAAAATATGTACGTGAGTGTTGGAACCAGCCCATGTAGAAACAGAGATCTGAGAAGCAAAATTATTCTGATCATGAAGGTTTAGAAAAGATTACAGGAAGTTAAATATTATGTTGTGGTTCAGATAATTCAGAAAAAGGATTGATGTCTGCCCTCTTAAATATAATAATGGAGAAAAGAAAAAAGACCAGATAGACCAACATATAGCAGCAAAGTGCCAGTAAATATGGTAGACCATGGAATACATCTTTTGATAGTCAATTGTCTTTCCCCCATGTTTCTTCTTAGTCATTCCTCCTCCACTTCTCTCTCACTTCATTTCTCTGGAAACTCTCATGAGTAAAAAAACCCATATATTTTTGCCTATAAACTCCAGTTTCTCAACAATCATAGCAATTGTTTGTGGAAAGTCAGGGAGGCTACATCTGAATTACCACATTTGTTAGGCACAAAGCCCAAAATAATCCACAAAGTATGATGAAGCAATTGTAACACACAAATAGAATCTCTTCAGAGGAAATTATTTGGTATGTTGTTGTGTCCTATGCATTCAATGGCATTTGTTCCATGGAAAATGAGATTTGGGGATTGCAGTCTAATGTTAGCTTAGAATATAGCTATTTTTGTTTGTGTAAAACAACTGGAGCCTGGCAGCACATACAGAAATACAGCATTTTGGGAACAATTGATTGATTATGTACCATCAAGTTGTTTTGACTCCTAGCAACCACCTAGATAGATTTTCTCCATGACGATTACATAGCTCAGATTCTAAAAACAGATAAGTTCAGTTTACAGGACATCCACCATTAACTTATAAAGCAGAAATTCTTCAGGACTCTGGGGTGTTTTCCCAATGCATTTGCACCTCCTACACTTTAGGAATACTGGATGAATGCTGCTAAGATGGGAAGGAATTTAGAAAAGAAATCAAAAGCACTTTGTTGCTGTTTGGTTGATGTGAGGTACATAAAAAAACCAGCAGAGCTTCAATTTTGGCCACCATCTTGAGTAGTTTGACTGCACCTCTGTGGACATCTCAGGCTGTCTGTATAGTCCCACCCTGTGCTGCATAACTTTACTGAAACATAGAACCATGAACTGAAGTTTGTTCATTCCCAGTCAATCTCTCGAGGAAAGGAGGCTGAAATTATAGTATTCTACTACTGCAGAATCTGTTTCACCAGGCTGCAGAGCTGGCTGTTAATTACAGGGGAACTATTCCAACTTACCACTAAGTATGAACACTCCTATTCTTCCTTGCCTCCTGAGTGACCTTTATATTAATGACACAGAAAATTCTGTATTTTTGTCCTAAGCAATGTTCAGGCTACTGGCTGTAACTATGCAATAAAACTTAACATTACCCGTGTGGGTGCAGCCACCCGCCCATGTGCAGAGTCCTTAAATGAATGTTCTTGAGGCCTCTCTGCCCATCTACTTTTGACAGAGAGCTCAAGCAAACAGAACTACCATTGAGGATATAAGGGCAAAAGCTTTTGGGCCAGCTGAGGATGATGGTGCTTTATGGATTTAGAAGGAAAAGCTAAGAATAAATAGTATGATAGCTGATACTTATTTAAGACCTTTGCCAACCACATTTCATAATATTTATCCCAGGGCTGCTTACCATGCAAACTGAAACTAAACAAAACAATAACATTTACCACAAAAAAATAAAAGCAGAAAAAGAATGTAAATTTGAATTAAAACAGCCATTTGAAACTTGATAGTTGAATCCCAAGCTATTTAAGGCTAAGAAAATTGAAAAGCGAATCTATCCAACAGAGATTTTGCAAAATTGGCAGCATAGTTTCCCAGAGAACCAACCCGGTTAAATTTTGACTGCTATATTTTGAAGTACAGCTGACATCAGTTTCAGATCCCGGTACAACAGATTACAGTGTGGGGCTACCATACCCAGGCTGCATGGACCATCAGTTGGCAGCCGAGAGACACAGAGAGCTAACTCCTGGTTGTCTGAATTTTTGCAACCCAGATGTAGTACAGAAAAAAACATGGTTTACAAATTAAGGGGGAAGGTGTGTCCACTGGAACCAAACTGTTAAACAAGAATTTATGTCATTTATATCATTTGCATAAATGATATAACATTGGGATTCTACTGTATATTAATCTCCACTCCATTAGCATAGATGTTTGAAACCAATCTTAGTGGAAATCAGCCTACAGAATTCAGTATTGTTGACTTCTGAGTAAGCATGGTTTCTTTTGAATTGCTTAGCTTATAATGCAACTTCGGCAATCTGGTGGGGAATTCTGGGAGCAGCAATGACAGGACATCTGGTGGGCATCAAATTTGGGAAAACTGATGACATGAGAAAGCCATAAAATGACATCACCTTATTTTTTTATGCAACACACTAATCAATCTTTTGTTGTTGAGGTTGAACAGATGAACAACTTTAACCATGAGCTTAATCTTAAAATATTGTCAGTGCAGATATCTACACTGCATATCAAAAAGCTACATCACGGAATAATGGGAAGTGGATCTTTCGGATTTCAGTATCTTAATCAAGGGTACATTCAAATAATTTGTCTTTTCTGTTAACTAGGAACAGATCTATATCTATCTATCTATCTATCTATCTATCTATCTATCTATCTATCTATCTATCTATCTATCTATCTCTATACCTATATATCTATATCTGTATCTATATAGTATTTTTAATAAGAAATGTGCCCTCCCAATTACTTCAAAACCAGGTGAGATTTTATAGAACTTGAAAACCTGAATGTAAGATGTTACAATTCTTGCCATCTGCAGCTTTTGTCTTAAAAGAGAGATTCCTCCTATTGTTTTCCATTGGATAGCCTAGTTCAGCCATTCCCAAATGGTGATATCTGGCAAGGGTACTGCAAGTGGCTGGGGGTGGGGTAGGAAATAATAATAGAATCCAGTGGGCCTCTTATGTATCATACTTGCAGTTTAGTAAGGAAGATGACCTTGATGGAGATGTGCAGAATCATTACCTACACAAAAGGGGCTAAAACATTTTTTAAAGTCCAGAACAGCAAGAAAGCATTCAGAAGCAGATCAGGCAGACACCTCCCTAATTCACTGAACTGTAAGAAGGAGGAGGTCCAACACAATCAGACTTGCAAGATTCTGTTATTATAGCCAATCTCAATAAATGTAGTTTTAGCCTTCCTTGGAGTTGATTTCCTAGTCTGGCTCATGTAGCGGGGCTGCCGATGCCTGAGGTTATATTAAGCTCAGGGCAATTTTTCCTACAAATTGCAGGTGAATGTACTGCACTGAATACAATATGTTTGCAAGTGGCCATAATAAATGCTTAGAAATAGCTGCAGTTTAATGCCTCTTAATGTACAAGTCTGACTCCTCTTAGCTAAATTTACTTATGTGGTGTCTGCAAAAACATGGGATGATGATTAATGGTTCACATTAAGGAGAAGGTTGGGAATCATTGGCTTAATTGATTAACAGCCCTATAATGCTGTATAAGAATTTATAAGAATATACATTTGTGTGATCAGATGAAAGTGCCAGTTAGGTCTTTACACCACAAATCTCTCCTATCTTTGAGAATTCTTGTTTATCTGTTAGTGTTAAGAGACGCACAGTAAATATCTTCCATCTGCCCGGTACTATACCTAACTGAACAGGGGTGATGAACAACAGCATCTAGCTTGTCCTGTCCAATCTCAAACATGCTATTCAAGAGTGGACATGGTTTAAGAGTTGTCTAGTGCTCCCAGACTCAGACAGTCATCTGGAATGTCCAAAAATCATTCTGGGAAAAGGCAATAGCAGATCTTCTTTACTGTTAAGCCATGGACATGTCTATGTGGCCACCAGGTGGTAAGATGGATGGGAGAATCCTTGCTCTTTTAAACCACATTACTCAGTCTGATCTCTTCCAATTGTTCGATCATCTCCCTGCAAGGACACTCTCTGGGGAAGCATGACCTGTAGTGTGTAAATATGATAACATGTACAGAATTTAGGAAAAAAGACTACATTTTTGCAGGTGAGTTCTGTACAGAATGTATCAGCATAGAATTGATAGTGGGTCTACATGCTGCAGCATGAACATTCTAATCCTTCTAGTTTGGAAGCTTCTGGATAGCCTTGGGAAATTTTGCTCTGACCTACATATTTTAGCTGATTTTACAGTTTATTACACTTGATTCTGAAACTACATCATCTTTCACAAAAAGTGGAGAGCAATCCCAACTGCAAAATGAATTCATTGTATTGTCAACAGTGACATCTTGTGGATATCTAGAGGGCAAAAATCAGCCTAATTGTAATAGAAAAAGAGACTCAGATCAGCCTTATGTTTAGGTTAATTAAATATTTATTAGTTACAGGAAAAAGAACTGAAGCTTAGATTGCAAAATTAACTAGAAAATGTTCTTCAAACCCGGAGGCTGCCTCCGTTTAGCTGAAGGGTTAACATAACCACTGAGAACTTGCAGTTTCATTCGTAAGAGAATGTAATATTTCAGTCATATCTTCACCTAACCTGGTCCCCAAATCCTGTCAAGCTTTTAATAAAGAACTTGAGCTCCTGAATATAAATCTAAGACAAATCTGAGAGCATGTTCTGAGTACTCAGACAAAATGGCTGCCAGTGAGGCGCATGGCCAGTCACAGAACGCCCATTTATCAGAGGACAAAGTAGTGATGTGGCCCTTCATCAGTTTCCAGTCCTACAGGATGCTTCCTCTACTACAGTTTACCTTTTATATCCCCCCTCCCCCAGGCACATTTACAAAAAAAGCACTGAAATACAAGAACCCACCATTTTCATTTTGTAAGAATGCCTGCAGGTCTTATGTGGAGCTTGAGGGCATCTTTGTAAATAAAGATAATGCTAGAAGTTGGGACTTCATTCTGCAACATGTC